GGCCTCTTTCCTTTAGCATACTGTTTTTAACATTATTAATACTTCATTCCCTTTTATGGTTTAATGATACTTTGTTGTATGCATAATACCAGATTTTGTTTATCTGTTCATCAGAAACTGGGAGTTGGGTTGTTTCTACCTTTTGCATATTATGAATAATGCTGTGACTGTGTACAAGTTTTTTGTGTGGACATATGTTTTCATTTCTCTTGGATATCCACCTAGGGTTGGAATTGCTGGATCATATTGTTTAGTGGTTTGACGATCTGCTAGACCGGTTTCCAAAGCAGCAGCATGATTTTATTACATTCCTATTAGAAGCATGTGATGAGGGTTCCAATTTCTCCATATCCTTGCCCACACTTGTTACTGTCTGTCTTTTTTATAATAGCCATCCTAATGAGTATGAAGTAGTATTTCATTATGATAAAATATGTGTAACATAAAATTTACTGTCTTTAACCCAATTTTAAGTGTGTAGTTCAGTGGTGTTAAGTGCATTCACTCTGCTGTGTAACCATCACCACCATCCATCTCCAGAATGTTTTCATCTTTCCAAACTGAAAATCCATGCACATTAAACAATAACTTTCCACTTCCTCCATTGTGGTTTTGATTTGCATTCTTTGGTTGGCTAATGATGTTGAACGTCTTTTCATGTGTTTATTGGCCATGTGTATATCTTCTTGCAGAAGTGTCTGTTCAGATCTTTTGCCCATTTTTAAGTGGCTTATTTTTCTTTTTACTGCATTGGAATAGTGCTTTATATAGTCTAGATTCAAGTCTCTTCTCAGGTATATGATTTACAAAAATTTTCTTCCATTTTCTATGTTTTGTTATTTTCTGGGTAGTGTCTTTTGATATACCAAGAGGTTTTAATTTTCATGTTCAGTTTGCCTTTTTCCTTTCGTCACTCATACTTTTGATGTAATAGTAAGAAACCGTTGTCTTATACATAGTTCATTTAGCTTTATGGCTGTGTCTTCTTCTAAATTTTACAGTTTTAGCTTACCTCCAACTTTTCAGCTGTTCCTTCCACATGCTATTCTGACTCTTCTCTAGAGATCCTGCTTCTTATTGAGTCCATGAGCTGTGAGATTGGGTGCAGTCCTCCGTTTGAACTGCTGTGCTCCAAGTGCCTAAGAAAGAATTTTTGTTTTGGTTCCATTATTGAATTATTTCATATTGTGCTTCTTTTATGCTGCCTTCATCCTCAACTGATGTTTCGGTTGTTCACCTACACTGGCTGGGAAATGTGACCAACTCTTCCTTCCTTGTCCTACCCGTGTTTCTAATATTGTGGGCAATCTGAGTGTCCATATGGAATGTCTTGCCAACATTCTAACCTTCCTTACTTCTTAACTCCAGTGGTTATCACTTTTATCCTTTTCCAGCAAATTGTTCTCATGACAAGATCTTGCTATTCTTCAAAAATGCTAAATGCTTATACCTGTCCTCTATCATCACCTCCTGTTCTCTTTTTCTTCTTTCTCTCTCCCTGTCCTCTCTCCCTCTTACCCGTCCTCCTTTCTTTCTTTGCTTTCTCCAGTGCCCAGCCACTTTGTTTCTCCTTCCTGGTTCTGCTCTCCACCCTGTACTTGAAGTATCATCTTCTCCAACAGGCATAGTTCGTTCCCTTTTTTCTGTATCCTTCATGTCCATCCTGTAAATCTCTCCATGCTCTTTCCTCAGCCTTTTGAACCTTCCTCACACATGATGTTGTTGCTCAGTTATTGAGTTGTCTGCAACCCCATGAACTGCAGCACACCAGGCTTCCCTGTCCTTCACTGTCTCCCAGAGTTTGCTTGGACTCGTTGTTCATCACATATGTTAGATGTTCAATAAATGATGAGTGAATGAATGAATGATAGAATGAACAAACCTTGGATCAATTAATTTAACTGTTCAGTTCCTGCAGAAGAACTGCTGGGCCCTGAGAAAAATGACACCTATACAAGGAGTCCCTGTTAGAAGTTCATGGTGTCTCAATACCGTGTTTCAACTGGTGTCTCAGTACTTTGGCAATTTTTATGTATTTCTAGTCTTTACTTCTTTTAACAGGTACTAAACCTTTTAACACGTATTTTAAACATCCACTGTGTTCCTATTTAACAATATTCTTTCTCTCTCATAGCAGATGAACTTCTATTTCATGTAGGAAGTTGAGGCCAACAGATGGGAATCTTGCTTAGTATTCTCTGGCTTCTACAAGAATAATAGCATCTGTTTTCATGCTTCCTTCCTAACCCCCTGTTTCCGAAGAGGATGACTTGGCCCCTCTCCCATGCTGGGCTTGTGTCTCTACTGGTGTTTTGGATCTTACTCTGTCTACCTCCTGAAGGGCCTAGCTCTATTAGTTTCTGTCTCCATTTCTTTTTTCCCTATGCCCCTTCTCTACTTAGCATGTATACTTTAAAAAAGGAGAGTAAGAAGGAAAAAAAGGATTAATACACTAACACATATATACTCAATTATTTTTTTTTAGCTACAGGCATCCTCTTTCTCTTTTTTTCTACGTGGCTTTTAGTAAGCATCATCTAAATTAGCTGTCACCATTTTCTTATGATTCATGATTAATGAACTGTTTCTCCTGGGTTAATTGACGCCCTTATTGTTAAATCAGGCATACTCACTCTAGTCTTTATGTTACTTGTTGCCTCTGAAACATTTGACACTGTTGGCTACTTCTTCCTTTTTGAACTCTCTACTATCTCAGCTTTGATCACAGTCTATTAATATAAGGAAGCCATGTGGATTTCTTTTATAACCAAGCTCAGTGGTTCCAGTGGTTCTAGGTGGACACATCCATCTCCAGTTAGGTAGGTTTGTTGAGGAGTGAAGATCTAACTTTGAGATTTACTTTGCCTTTGACAATGTCCCAGCAATTATTGTTAGCACCGCCATCATGCTAGGCTGAGTGATCACAGGTGGAGCTGGCTTCAATGTGTTCTCACACCTCTTCCCTTATTTCCTATAGGGCACCGAGGCCAGAAGAATGTTTCAAAGAGATTTAATAAAGTGTTTTTAAAAGGTTCTTGTTTCAGTTGGGTTTATTGTGACGTTTTTGTATAATAATGAAAGATGAATAATAGAAATGTTCATCAATAGGGGAATGTGTGGATTGTTTCTGTTGTCCAGTTGCTAAACCACATCTGACTCTTTGTGACCCCATGGATGGCAGCACACCACACTTCCTTGTCCTTCACTGTCTCCCTGAGTTTGCTTAAGCTCATGTCCATCGAGTCGGTGATGCCATCCAGCCATCTCATCCTCTGTGGCCCCCTTGTCTTCTTACCCTCTCTCTTGCCCAGCATCAAGGTTTTTTCCAGTGAGTTGACTCTTCACATCAGGTGGCCAAAGTAATTGGAGCCTCAGCTTCAGCGTCAGTCCTTCCAATGAACATTTAGGGTTGTTTGCCTTCAGGATTGACTGGTTTGATCTCCTTGCTGTCCAAGGGACTCTCTAGAGTCTTCTCCAGCACCACAGTTTGAAAGCATCAATTCTTCAGCACTGAGCCTTCTTTATGGTCCATCTCTCACATCCATACATGACTACTACAAAAACCATAGCTTTGACTGTACAGACCTTTGTTGGAAAAGTAATGTCTCTGGTTTTTAGTACACTGTCTAGGTTTATCATAACTTTTCTTGCAAGGAGCAAGTGTCTTTTAATTTCATGGCTGCAGTCACTGTTTGCAGTGATTTTGGAGCCCAAGGGAATGAAATCTGTTACTGTTTCCACTTTTATGACATCTATTGGCCACAAAGTGATGAGACCAGATGCCATCATCTTCGTTTTTTTGAATGTTGACTTTTAAGCCGGCTTTTTCACTCTCCTCTTTCACCCTCATCAAGAGGCTCTAGATCCTCTTCGCTTTCCACATTATGTTATATCCATATATAGGATAATATGCACTAGAAAAATGAATGAAGTAGATCTAGGTGTATTGATGATGTCTAGAAAAAAAATTAAGGTGCAGTTCTGTTAATTTATCTGTCATCTATCTCATAATTTGTAAGGGGGAAAAACACTATGGAACAGAACTATGCATAAATGTTTAACAGTTGGTATCTACTCATCAGACCATTTTGAGTGATTTCATCTAAGGAGTGGAAAATGGAGAGTGTTACAAATTACTTTATTTCTCCTTAATATTTCTGTTTTGTAATAGAACAATAATGATTTTGAGGATTTTAAATGTAGAAAAAAATATCAGCTTATGACCTATTCTTACTTGTCTTGCTCTCCTCCTTCTTGCTTCTTGGGCTACAATCTTTGCCTGTTTTCATTTTCCTTCCAAACTCTAGCCACTCTTCTGAATCCCCTTAGTGGGCTTCTGTCTTAATCCTGTTTATCCCGCAAGAGTCACCTTTGGTTCCCACTAAGCATTGCTGGATTACTCAGACATCTTTTATTATTAATGCCTTCCCTCTGTGTTCCCATGGCACCCTGGGAAATCTTTAGTCACTGATGTCTGGAGCAGGAGCCGTTATTTGATTTTGTATTCCATGGACCTGAGCAGAGTACTCAGCACATGGTAGAAATTCATTAAAAGGGGTTTCAGTGTTAAAATAATAAAGCATCAAATTTGAAGTAGATCTTCTTAATACCAGCAAGTCCTTTTTTGTAGGTTGTCATATTATGCTATTTTCCTTGAAGCTCTGTGTGAGGATACATGTTTTAATTAAACTGCATTTTATATCTCAGGATGTGCTGAGTTTATATTTGATAGGCTATTCTAATTGAACTCCAGGCAGTTTATTTAAATGTAATATGATTTCTTTAATTATAATTATAGGGTGGCAAGTGATAATTTCATACTTCATTGTAACACGAAACAATATGGAGTATTTTTATACTATCTTCAAATGCTTTAATTAAAGAAGACCTGCATTTATGTGTTTCAAAATGTGTTCTCTTGACCCAAGTAGAAGGATAAACAAAAATTAATGTTTCTTTTGCATGTATATTGCTTGCCTGACAGTTTGTTTTCTTTTTAGGTTCAACAGATAGATCGTGTAGTAGAAGTTGTGGAGGAAACAATTAAAGGTAAACGTTGAAAGTGAGATAATGTGTATATTGTTTGAACTGTATCATAGATGAAGTAGATCTAAGTGAATTGATGATGTATAGAAAAAAATCAAGAGACAGGTCTGTTACTTTATCTGTCACCTATCTCGTAGTTTGTAAGGGGGAAAAAAACACTATGGAACAACTATGGATAAATGGTTAACACTTGGTATCTACTCATCAAACCATAAAATGATTTCATCTGAGGAGTAGTATTAGGGGGTGTTATGAGTGGGGTAATGTATATGTTTGAAATATATCATGAAGGTACTATACTTAGTTAACACTTGTTAAGAATTTTTATGAAAGTTATTGTTGGACAAATAACATAAAATTTTGTCCTTGCCTGCTTCATGCATTGACCAGTCCAATATGGGAGGCATATGTTTGGTTGGCTTATAAATCGTGTTTTTATTTTAGTGTAAAATAGACTTAATTTGAATCAGGAATCAGGAAGACAGGATTTAATCTTAAAATAAGGAACTGGCTTTATTTGCTCTTTTTTCAGTTTTATTACAATGACATTGTTTTTATATCATGTAATTAGTTGTAGTTATTTCCTCTGAAAGTACTGTTAAAAGTAGTACTCAATTTTGATTTCTCTTCTGTATGTAATTTTTGTAGTTACACCAGAAAATGGAATTATTGTTTGATTGTTTTATTAGCCAGTATTCTTTGAAATAGATTCTTATTGAAGCCACTGAGGAATAAACCATTCTTAATTCTGTGGATTAATTTGTAAATATTTATAGTCTACTTCTGTTAGTACAAATGAAAACTGATAATATGATGTTAAAATATTAAGTGAATTGAGGTTCTCGCTTAAAATTTTAACCATTTTTCTAATACAAATTTTGTGGGTTTTTTTTTAAAGTCTACTTCCACAAAGTTGAGATTTTTAGCCACATACTTTTCCTGCTGGGTTGTATTTACTACCTTCCTCATGCTGTTATTCATTAATTTTGAATCTTTAATTTACTGTTGCTGTTGAGTTGCTAAGTTGTGTCTGACTCTTCGCGACCTTGTTGACTGCAGCATGCCAAGCTCCTCTATCCCCCACTGTCTCCTGGAATTGCTCAAATTCATCTCCACTGAGTCAGTGATGCTATTTAACCATCTCATCCTCTGCTGGCCCCTTCTTTGTCTTTGATCTTTCTCAGTATCAGGGTCTTCCATTGAGTTACCTGTCTGTATCAGGTGGCCAAAGTATTGAAGCTTCAGCTTCATCAACAGTCCTTCCAATGAATATTCAGGGTTGTTTGCCTTTAGGATTAACTGGTTTAATCTCCTTGCTGTCCAAGGAACTCATAAGAGTCTTCTCCAGCACCACAATTCCAAGGCATCAATTCTTGGGCACTCAGCCTTCTTTATGGTCCAGATTTATATAATTTATTAGGTGACCACAGAATATGAGAATTTTAGACTTATATATTAGTCTTCCTTGAAATTCTGAGATAAAATGAAGTATCAGGGTTAAAACTTTGTAGCAGTGATAATGTTGAAACTTTTTTTCAAACCATACCTCAACACAATCTTTTAAGGTTTAGAAGTGCTAGCATTTATTGTGCACTTAGAGAATGACAGGCACTATACTAAGCATGGAGTAAGCCATTTCAGTATTTTGCAACAGTGCTGTGAAGTGGGTACATCTGGTTTCCTCATTTTTCAGAAGAGAAAGTTTGGACACAGGTAGTAAATGGCGGAGTTGGAATCTGAATCTAAGCATTATGGCTGCGATGCCCCTGCCACTCCGTTCACACTATACTATGACTGCTCTGCTCTCTCCTGGTTGAGAATCACTACCTTAACAGTTGTTCAGTTGAGCTTCTGAAGGTAGTGTTTCAGGATGCTTGAGGATTCTATTGTTTATCTTGAGAACCTGGCATATACTGTTGTTGTTTAGTCACTCAGCTGTGTCTGACTCTTTGTGACCCTGTGGACTGTAACCCACCAAGCTCCTCTGTCCATGGGATTTCCCAGGCAAGAATACTGGAGTGGGTTGCCATTTCCTTGTCCAGGGAATATTCCCAACCGAGTGCTCGAACCTACTTCTGCTGCATTAGCAGGCAGGTTCTTTACCATTGAACCATCTTGGAAGCCCACCAAGCATATACTAGTCCCTAAATTATATTTTAAAAAAACTAAATGACAGTGAAGACAGGAGAAAAATCTAGCAGACTATGGTTGTGGCGATGACTTTTTAGATGATATACCAAAGAGGGACTGTCTGTGAAAGATAATTGATGAGTTGAACCTCGATAAAATTAAAAACTTCTGCTCTGCAAAAGATAGCATTGAGAGAATGGGAAGATGATCTATAGACTTTTGCAAAAGACATACCTGATTAACTGTAAGCTTAATTACACAGAATACCTCTTAAAACCCAGCAGTTGGAAAATAAACAACCTGATGAAGAAATGGGCCAGTGACTATATCAGAAATGTCCCCAATGACACACAGGTGGAAAATAACCATATGAAAAGATACTTCACATCATATGTCATCAGGGATGATACCAACCAGCCTCTTTGCTCCAGGAGTTAACTCATTAGTACAGATTCAGATTTGCTTGAAAGGAGCTTATTATGAATAACAAAAGATGCCCCTCCCACTGCTGTCACTCAAGAAATAATAAGAGTTTTAGGAAATTGGTACCAGGAATGAGGGATGGTTATATATTTCTGTATCACAGAATCACAGAAGGCCTATCACTTCCAGGTTGGTTTAATTAGGGATAGCCTCTCACTGAAGAGTTTTGCTAAAGTAGATTTATTGGAGAGATTGTAGTTGAGTTTTTGATAGTCTACAGCAAGAGTTGAGTTGAAAATGGAGTTGATGTAGGTGTCCACTGGCAGGTTGGTTTGAGGATGGGAAGGCTGAGGATTTAAATCTTAGTAATACAGATCGGGAAAGGAGTACATCAAGGCTGTACATTGTCACCCTGCTTATTTAACTTAAATGCAGAGTACATCATGAGAAATGCTGGACTGGATGAAGCACAAGCTGGAATCAGGATTGCTGGGAGAAATATCAATAACCTCAGATACGCAGATGACACCACCCTTATGTCAGAAAGCGAAGAAGAACTAAAGAGCCTCTTGAAAGTGAAAGAGGAGAGTGAAAAAGCTGACTTAAAACTCAGCATTCAGAAAAGTAAGATCATGGCATCCAGTCACATCACTTCATGGCAAATAGATGGGGAAACAGTCAAAATAGTGACAGATGTTATTTTTTGGGACTCCAAAATCACTGCAAATGGTGATTGCAGCCATGAAATTAAAAGATACTTGCTCCTTGGAAGAAAAGCTATGACCAACCTAGACAGCTTATTAAAAAACAGAGACATTACTTTGCCAACAAAGGTCTGTCTAGTCAAAGCTATGGTTTTTCTAGTAGTCATGTATGGATGTGAGAGTTGGACTACCAAGAAAGGTAAGTGCCGACGAATTGATGCTTTTGAACTGTGGTGTTGGAGAAGACTCTTGAGAGTCCCTTGGACTGCAAGGAGATCCAACCAGTCCATCCTAAAGGAGATCAGTCCTGAATATTCATTGGAAGGACTGATGTTGAAGCTGAAACTCCAGTACTTTGGCCACCTGATGTGAAGAACTGACTCATTTGAAAAGACCCTGATCCTGGGAAAGATTGAAGGCAGGAGGAGAAGGGGATGACAGGATGAGATGGTTGGATGGCATCACCGACTCAATGGACTTGAGTTTGAGTAAACTCTGGGAGTTGGTGATGGACCAGGAGGCCTGGTGTGCTGCAGTCCATGGGGTTGCAAAGAGTTGGACACAACTGAGTGACTGAACTGAACTGAATACAACAAGAGAATTTTAGAGACAGAAGAAATAATTTTGGTAGATATTCTTAGTTTGCAGATCAGGAAGCTGATCCAGGAAGAAGTTATGTGACTCATCTGAGATCTTCCGGTGAATGGAAATCTGGGCCTGATTCTTTTCCATTCTTCATTTCTATTTCTTCCGCCAATCCCTACTTTTGTTAAGACAGCACAAGTTAGTGAAATAATGTGGTCCTTGTAACAGTTAACTATTTCCTGTCTGTCTTTCAGTAAGTTATTTCTCTGAGGCTCAGTTTAGAATGGAAAGGATTAAATGGGTAAGACTTTTGTGATACCTGGGGTATACTAGGGGAAAATTTTTGTGTATTTATTTGTACCTCCTTAATACTCAGGCTGCTGGAATAATCTAACTGACCTTCAATTGCAGAGATGCTCCTTTCAATTGGACTGTGTATACGACCCTCATGTTCTGGAAATGTTTTCCTCTCCTGCACGTGTACCTTCTGTGGTTGCCTGTTACCTACCAAGTTAACTGGTGACTTCTGCCTCTTTCTGCCATTTCCACTGTTTCTTCCATTACTTCCATGCTAAACCTTTTGCTCTAGAAAACTTCACTGTTTGATGTGTCTTGTATATTATTTCCAATTTGCTCCACATTCATTTTAGGAACTTACACATAAGCAGAGAAGTTCTGTTTGCCGGCCAGACCCATTCCCCACCCTTCCCCCCCTTGACGTGTGTCCATGGAGGCAGACCTGTGTGGACTACATTGGTAGGATCCTTGCTACCCGCTGTCTAGTTGCATTTCTCTTGTTAGAGGTGTGAGATGGGAGGATTCATTCCCTTCTCTCAGTTCCTTCTTTCCTGCTCATCCTAACCCGAAGGTCATAACTCCTAGCAGGTGGCCCTCTCTAGTCATCTGTTTTTCTCCTGGTTCCTGTCACTCTTCCTTTCCTTTGCTTTTTCAGGCCCAAGGCTGGAAACAGCACCCTGTTGTTGCTTGCCTGAAGCTCTTGCATTGTCTCTTGTTGGTCTTCCTAACTTTGCCAAACTTTAGTAATTAGCGCCTTTATTAAAATCTCTTCCATTATGCAGTGTGCCATCTGCTTTGCTGGGACCCTGGGTGATAAATGCTCCGTGGAGAAGAAGGCTCTGCCCAGAAGGGCCAGATGGAATA